CCATTTTCCCTTCAACCCCCCTCCCCCCACCCCCCCCAAAAACCTCTCAAAGGATCTTACACCAGCACAAGTATCGAATAACTCTAGCATCTATCGTCTTCTACCAGCATAAATATCGAATAACTCTGCACACCAAGAGTTCGGCAGATGGAAAGAAATTGTCCAACTTTTTTGTCGCTACAGAAATTTGAACTCTGGTCTCCTATAGTTTCACTCACTTAATTGACCGTTAGGCACAACCTTGGATGCCCCTTTCTTCCCTGGTTTCCTTTTCCAAGTATAATCCCCTCTACTCCTAATAAATGATAAAGGACTTAAAAAAGGAAAACAAAGATCTTTGCAATCTACATACAAAGTATTCACTTTTATTTCCCTTTTGAGTACCTAGTTCCTATGTTGCTCGGACTCTTCAAAAATTACATGTCGGATCCTCCAAAAGTAGTGCATTTATGGAGTATCCGACAAGGGTGCGACAGCATATCTGGAAAGTCCGCGGAACATAGCCTAGTTCCCACCAAAGTAAATGGTATTAGTATCACCTCATTCTTGAAAATATTGGAAGCTAAATCTAGAACCCCATTTAGCAGAAAGTGATGATCTAGAAGGCATTTTTCATATTTCAACTTTAATTTTTACATGATAGCAAGTTAACAACAGTAAAAAAACAGAGGAAAGAGAGGAAACTACTATCATAACTAAGGGTTACTACTAGCCTGCCTTTGATTTTTTGCTATTGTTCAAAGTGTGGTCCAGCACACAACTACAAAAGAGGGTACAAAATAAACACAGAGAGAGACCCCACTCTCATTAATCAGTTCATCTGTCCTTTACGTATACATTATGTATTTGTTGTAAGTAGTATGGTATTGATGATGACAACAATCTTGAGGAGATCTTCCTTACCAATCTTTACTTCTGTTGTTGGTATACTTTGGCTATACAGCTAGAGGACTTTTACTTCTTGTATATGGTACTACTCAAACTTTTCTGCATAAACAAATACGAAGAGAATCTAATTCAAAACAAGAATGACAAAGAAAATTGAAACCAAAAGTAAATAAAAAAAGATTCTTTTACCAAGCTAAGTTAATCCCTCCTAGCTAGCCTTGCACAAACTCTTAACACCTACATTTCAATGGCTTCTTGCCCAGAAGTAAACCTGGTCAATGACCACCTCAAATTAAGTTCTTTTCACTCTTTTTTAAAAACCAAAGAGAGTGGATTGAGAAAAGATGTTGAGAGGTTAAGTACCTTGGCATGTGGAAGTAACAAGATTTAAGAGAAGCCATGTTGAGGGTAGAAGTTGTGGGAAGCATAGAGATGTTAGTAGTAGTAGTAGTAGTTATTGGGGAACTAACACCGGCTTCAGCTGAATCAGTGGAGAATGCGGCCTGGTGTTCTGCAGCTGACTTTGTAGGAGAAGCGAAAAGATTATCGGGAAGGATGTGCTCCAAGCTGCTTCAACACCAAACAAAAATCAATAACAATAGAAAGAATCCAAAAACACTAATTTGCACTATTTTAGATCCAATTCCAGCACACTTTAACATCCTCAATGGGGAAACCAAAATGAAAGGCTCGCAACTACAAGCTTGAAATAAGACTTCATGCTGTTAACAATCTTGAAATTCCATTGAAGAAATTAATGTTCAGTACCTTTCTTGAAGATTAGAGTCGTCGGTGTTGGCGGTCTGCTCCTTGCTGCCGTTCTCGTTCCCAATATCGCTAGGCAGCGTTTCCTGAGGCACCTTCTCATCAGATGCATTAGATGGGGACTTGGTAGCTTCATAGATATCGTTATTTTCTGTAGAAAGAAATAAAATCAGCAAATACTCGATCCACCAAACTAGAGAAGAAAACAGCAAAGAATCTCTCAAAGGTAAACCTGCAGGAATTTCTTCATCATTGCCATTAGACAGAGGAACAAGACTATGACTGTTTTGAGAATGAAACTGCATCTCGGAAGCAGTTGGAAGACTAGCAGAGAGGCTCGACGGGAACTGATCATTGCGATGTTGATTCTTCAGGTCCATCAGTTGCAAATTCATTAACCTTCTGCCTTGAAGTTCAATGGCTTGCTGCAATTCAGCCTCCTGCTCTAATTTTCTTCTCAACATCATCTCATGCGAATTGTAGAACATTCTTGCTCCTGTATATATGAAAAAATATTTAAAAAGCGTCAAACAATCCATCCTACACTTGAGAAGAAAATCAGAAATTTAATTCATATTCTTACCAAACGGAAGGTCATATGGCTCCCTAGACTCAAGTGCTGATGGACTTAAACATGTTGACAGCTCTCCTCTATCCATCGAATGCTGTTGTTGCAGTTGCTTCCTTCAATTCAATCAACAATGAAATACTAGGCATGAATAAAGGAGCCGTTAATAACCCAAGAATAACATTAACATTATGATCATCAGTACATACTTGTCTGCAACTTTTCCCTTTTCCTTGTAAGGCTTGACAAGTACACGAGAATCACACACAAAATGAGGGTTCCCTTTAGCCAAGATGAGCTTCACGGTTTCTGGGTAGACAAATGTAACGAATCCAAACATACGCTTCTGCTGATACGGAATTCTAACATCTTGGACTGGCCCATACATGCTTCAAAAACAAATTACAAGGGCACTTCACCATCATTTCATTCCAATTTCAAGACTTTCAAGAATCCAGACCACAATAAACACGTACCTAAAGTAATTAGACACATCCTCCTCCTTAAATGTGCTATCAGCAGGAAATGTTAGGTAAATCTGTCGCGAACTTGAATTTGAGATACCGCCCATCGCCATTGCTGAAAAATCACTTCTATCAGGCCGGCATCGACCAAATTTGTGGAATTCTTCTCCCATCATAAACGCTGCCGCAGCCGATCTGCAGTTAGACCACACATGAAGATACCTCAAAGTCCAACCAAATATTCCAAATCTCAAGCTCCAAATGAGGTACCAAATCAGAAAAAACTTAGCAGCATGTACTAGACTATAACTACCTAACCTTAAACAATGACTTGCTAATTGCTACAGATAAGTTTTTTAATACAAGTATATACCAAATCAAGCTTAAGATTAGACTAGACAGCAGCATAAATCACCAAATTACTAGCAAGACAAACATTTACAAGTTCATAACAAGGTAAGAGTGAAAAAATACTACTACCCCAGATTCAAGAAAGTTATAAAGTTAAAAACTTTCCTTAAAAGAACAGCAACCAGGAGCAAATATCAGCTAAAGGGTAAATCAAAAATACCTTTGGTTATCACTCAAGATGTTCATACACTTGTTGTAAGCAAGTGGATGATGATGAGCACCAGAAGCCATAAGGGAGGCAGCAGCAAACCTCTGTTGTTGCTGCTGTTGTAAGGCTTTCATCCTCAGAAAATCATCAAAAGAGTCAACTTTATTATTACTAGGAGAACCAACAATAGCACTAGACCCATCAGAATCTTGAAATCCACCAACACTATGCAAAAACTTACAACTATTCCCATTCTTGCAAAACCCTCTTGCATAATACATGCAAGGCCTCCAACCAAACCCCAAACTACCCCCACCCCCACTATCATCTAACCCCCCACCCCCACCAAGAAAAACA